CCCCGCCCCCCCCTAGTATATAGAATGCTGATATATTTGATTTTATCAATGAATTAAAAAGTGATATTTATTATTTAGGGAGCTCTAACGTCATGTTGTATAAATTGGTATGATCGGCGATTATTATTTGTTTCTTATAATTTCTTCCTTTTTGCTTTTTTCTATTGTCTTCCATTGATTATTCTTATTACAGCCAATACAAGAATTTATCTTGGATTAAAAAAAATGAGAAATAAACTGGCACAAGGTGATAAAACTGAATTAAGTCAAAAACGAATTGAAATGGAAGGTCGAATACTTAAAAGTAAACATTTCTTTGGTAATAGTAAATGAACACGCATATATATATTTCTACAGGTACTATAATGACAGTATTGAGTTTTGTTATAACATGGACTCCATATGCAATTGTATTTTTTATCGCAGTATTTCGTGGTCCTGGTGCAGCAGTACCACCTATGGCAACATTCATATGTGCTTGTTTTGCTAAATCATCTGTTATGTGGATTCCAATGCTATACATAAGTACATCAACTTATTTTCGACCAAGTTTCGTTGATATGAAGTGCATGGATAAGCAAGGATCGATGAGTTCTACAGGTGCAGGAACATATAATCCATATGCTTTACCTCGTAAAAATGAAGGAGCACCAGCAATATCAGTGATTCAAGCATCAAAGGAGAAAAGATGTTCGGCTATAGATAAACAATAAATTTATTTATGAGCTTTCTTTATTTGCTTTTTCACGTACTTCAACTATATGATTATTTGCAGAGCTTCATCAATAAAAATTTGCGTTTTTCTTTCTAAAGCATAAAGCTCTATAAACCTGTATCTATATGCTTTTTTATTTACACATAAATGAATAGTCCCCATATATTTGACAGTAGCCAGTAGGCATATTTGATAAAGAGGCTCAATCGTAGCTTGAACAAAATATCAATTTAAAAATTAATTAGTTTTCAATAAGAATATTTTCTACTCAAAAAGCTTCACAAATATCTTTATACACAAATTGATTATAAAACATGCAAAATATACATCTGTGGCATCCCACTGGATGATTCTATTTTATGCATTGATTGATAAATGATCACGATCAGTCAACACGATAAACGAACGAATTCGGCAACAATTATTGCAATTATATCAAAAACAGTCATCACAAAGTTATATTCATTTGTTGCAAAGTCTTCTCGACCAAACAGCATAATTAATCATTTGTTTTTTTTTTGGTTTGACTACCTTTTATCAACTAACAAGCGAATATTAGTATGGTTTATAATTGTAGATCAAATGAGCAAAACACATTGTTCAATTAGATCATATTTTATCATTAAAACTGTTTCAACATTTCAACTCTAGAACTCGATCAGCTCGATTTTGATAAGTTATCGATGATTTCCTCAGCTACCTTCTATTGATTATCTGCCAATTTATCATGGCTATTCATAGATGCTTTCTTTAAATCTTCAAGTCAATATTTGCGTAGAGTAACTATCCTGGATCATTGTTGCTGACGTAGTTGAATAGAAAACGTCTTTGTAGTTTGATATAACCGCTTATTTGAATGAGCAAATATCAACATCCAGCGTGTATTAGACTAATAATTTCATAATTGTGATATAATTTTTTTTTCTATTTTACAATTGACACTGAAATAACACCTGAAGAGGAAACAATGGAGATTTTTCTTAGTTGGTGTTGACGCTTACCAAAACAGTCAAATAGGAAGAGATCGAACTAGTTATATAAAAGTAGAAATCTTTGTTTTTCATTTTCCCCATCCGATATTAATAAAATCAGCTGTTTTATAAGCCATATTTATTTCTCAATGACTAAAGCAATGTTATAGAAACCCTGTTACACGACGGTAGCGTCTTTCAATAATTGTATTTATGAATTTTTACTTAAACTAGATATCTATCCGTCTATCGATAACTTCTTAGAAATAATAATGTTGTCTTAATTTCATTCATTCATCAAATGTCTGTCACACACAGAAGTCGATTGTTAATTTAATAATCCATTGGATTTCTCATATTCAATAGTTAAAAAAGGCGAATCGACATTATTCATAGAGTAATCATTAGATATATTCACAAATTAATTTACCATTTTTTTCTCAGAGTAGAAGTACTCACATTCCTTCTGTTTATATATCAAATCAAAAGAGCACCGTTTTATATATGCAACAAGTGAAAAAGATTTCTAAATTTAATTATAATATTTATTTTGTGAGAAATTTTGAAGAATTAAATAGTTTATCGATAATCAAAATAAACATCCTGAATAGTTTATGTCTTCGATTGGATCTTCAACATATTTTCCAGATAGTAACGGTTCGTTATCTCTCGCTCGTAACAATGGTATATTTGGCTCTTGATCAATCAGAATTATCCACGAACGAATTTGAAGCGGACTACGTACACAAAATTCATCAGCACCACGCGGATGCTCGTAGTAAACTGTGTCATATTGATCTGCTTCAGACCACTGCGCTGGATCTCTAATACGTTTTGTTTTACCTAAATCTACTTTCGCACATATATATGCTCCAAATTTATTAGCTTTAAATTCAGTATGGTCAAGAGACGTTGCAAAATATATACCTGGCCCAATCCATCCAGTTTTCGAACTTTTCAATTCTGACGTGGCAATAGCGTACGCAGCGAGATGACTTGTTTGATGAAATCCAACCACTATTTGATTATCTGTTGTTTGGTCAGGTGGATAACGTGTATTTCCTGAATGAAAGATAATTACATGGTAAAGATTCCGTGACAAGCAAGTTATTCCCTTGTCGCATCGAGAATGTTGCCAATGACTTGTTTGTTGATCATTTGTTATTGCAAGCGGTAAAAAACGCATATGTTCTTTAGCATATATGATTTTCTCATCAGACGAAGTGTTTGGGCGATAGCGAAACCATATACGATAATGATGGAGATACTCAACAATTAATAAAACTACGGCAGGTACAAGTGAAAATGCAGCCAAAATCGCGTATCCTAAACCTATTGGTCCGTATCTATTTGCACATACACAAGCAAGTATAAATGCTATAAATCGTATGATCTCAAATAAAATTAAAACACAAAATCGAGTTATTAAAACAAGTTGTGGATGTTCTTGATAGCATTCACAACGAATACACGTTAATGTTGATAAACTCCAAGCAAAGTGTTGAGAACAACATCCAACTTTTTCACGGTCAGATTCAAATAGAATGGGTCCAAAATAACGAAGAAAAACATAGAGAATATTTGCCAAAAAAGTAATAAACGATGATCCTACTTCCAATAATAAGATTACCACAGGGAAAGCTATTGAGTCACTTTTTGCAGATGATAAATCTGTACAAAGAACAATAAAGCGTAGAATAAACGCAATAGTACAGATTGTATGAAGTCTGATAAGATAACGGTATCGTGTGAAATCGTTTTTTAATTGCATCGAATATATGAAAAATTATCTAAAATTAATATAGACTTTTTTATTCAATGTGCAACGTGCTAGTGTTTCAAACAAATGAAAGTTCCAATTTCAAACTAATCAATGCCACTATTAAGAATCTCGTATTCGCATTTAAAATATGCTGTTAAAAAAATAAAATAGAATTGGAAATAAAAGTAAACAGCAAAACCAACGTTTTTTTTATCAACTAGTAAAGTTAAACTTGATCCCAAGCACAACTACCGAAAGAAGATTTATACAGTCCTGATGATTGTACAAAAGCAACAGGAAAGAACCGTCTCCAATGCTTAAACTAAATTTTTGTTTCGACGAGGTGAACAGTTTTTGCTACTTTTTGTTCTCATTCTCACGGAAAAGATGCACACAAGAATAAACGAAATAAATACATCTAAGAATCATCGTAGAGTATATTTCTTATATTTTATTTAGTCTGTAGAAAATAATAGACTATACGTGTATTCGTTTATCTTATATAGGCGATCATGTTTATTGTCATATTTTGGCTGCGATATAAAATGATAGCTAATTCAGATCGCTTTCTATTTAGACGTAGTTAAGCAATCGACTCGATAATAAACTAGCTAATTAGGATAAAGGCCTAGGTCTAGAATAGATCATATTTGATTCGGTATTTTAAGGTTAACATTTCATTCGACGAGAACGAACTAATTCAACTGCATTACTATTATTGATAGTTAATCAGAATTTTGAGAAGTAATAAAAGTAAGAACAGTAGAGAATTAATAATGCAATCATCAACTAATAACATAAAACAGGCATTAGTGTGAATGAGCGACTTTTTTAGACTATAAAATTCAAATAAAATATAAAAAATCTGTGTAAACATGTTAGATATACAAGATAATATACGATCAATGAATAATATTGATTTCTTCATAGAAACTCTGGACGCTTAACTTGAAATTATTGTTGAATGATTACCTATTACTTTAGTGCTCTACATTTAATACATTAAGTTTTTTAATGATAATTTACTGTTAGTAAAATTTGAAAAATGTGAAAATAATAAAAGCAATTAATAATTAAATATTATTATTCTAAGTAAGATTTCGCTGAAAATAAAAACTAAAAATTACAGGGGCTTTAAAATATCAAAATACATAGCTAATCACTATAAAAAGTAACAAGTAATACAAATGAGTCCCACATACCAAGTAAAATTCATAAAAAGAACCAATAGCAATACAGCAGGGCTTTTATGTTTACAATTAGCTTGAAGCATTTTTTTTCTTCGTTCCTGCTTGGAAATTATGCGAAAACTTTATATTCCAAATAAAATTTAAAAAAATTCCAAGTTTCAAAATGACACAGTATCGAATGACAACTTGAACAGCAATCATGTTTCGAGCTGCTCTCGTTGCCAACAAATATTTCCCCGAATAATGAGTTGCGGTTGAAAAGTTGTTTTTGTCGACAGACATTTTTTATTTGATTCAAGAAGTACAATAACAATAGTTTCATTTCTTGAGTAAGTTGGTAAAAAAAAACATCAACCACTACAACATACTTCACTCGTATCCATGGTACAATTATTAAAAAACAAAAAACGCATATAGTTCCTAGTGAGAGACAACTAATACGTTCACATCAAAAAGAGAAACTTTTCCAGCAAAAAATGCGTTGTAATTTTCGTAGTCCCATAAATTGTTATAATGATACAGTACGATACAAAACGATGATCATTTTTCATGTAATCGATCTGATATTTTTTATCATTCGGTTAAGTCTTGTAAGTAATGACATTTCGAAAGGTATTACTGATACTATGGGTTTTCTTGTACCTATTCTATTATTTGATTTGATTGCATCAGTACCAATAATAGCATCTGATATTATTTATGTGATAATGCGTCATTGTGTTAGGCCGTTAGAACAGAACCGACATTCTTTCCAAAGTATATGGCGTTTTGGGACTATGACATGCATCCGACTTGATTGCCACAATGAACGTCCACAAACTATACTACTCATGCGTCTTATTTTTATTGTTTGTTCTGTTCTCTTAAAATTTATTTGTTTCGTTATTGGTGCTTCTTGTTCGGCTCGTTTTAAATCCGAATGTACGGCATACACTGTCATTGCTGCTTTTGCTCTAGTATCAACTGTATCAGGTACTATGGCTGAATTTGTACACTATTTCCGTTTATGGAGTTATAATCCGACTGATAAAGGGAATAAAAGTAGTCCGAACGCAATTTATACCGATGATAGTCTGAAACCGGTAGAAAAAACGCATCGACGCCATCTTGGTTTTATACATCATTCGTTATTAAATGATCAAAATGCCGATGGTTTTCGACATTCAAGATGTGAAAACAGAAACAAGTGCAAATCAATCAGTCTTCATCATCATTTGTTGTATCATACACTTGACGTAGAAAATGAAATTGATTTAGCAACATTATCTGATAAACAAAAAAAATCGTTTATTGCTTTTTATGAGACTACTGCAGCAGAAGCATTAGATATTGCCAAAAATGGATTTCCTTATGGTGATACTAATGATAGCAAATTCAAAGATTATTTACATCTTAAGCAAAGTATCTTTTTTACACGTTCATGTCAAGCACTGAATAATTCTTCTGCAGACGCGATTATATGTGTTCGTCTTAATTTAGGACGAATATTCACACGTGATAATGACGTAAATCTCAAGCTTAATGATTATTTTGGATTTGGAGATGGAAAGTATGACACCGTTTATGTAAGAAATACACGTAGAATTTATCTTCGAATGCCAGGTCAAATTGAGAAATGGATGATTGTATTAACTACTAGAGTGGCAGTCAACGACATTTTAGATGGAGATTTTTATATAGGCTGTCCTTAAACAAGCTACGTATTATGCATCAATCAAGCGTTACATTGGCATTACTAGCATACATAGAAAAAAGATTCTAAATAATGTTTTTGTATCGATTGATTACACAGTGCATGATAATATCAACACTGACTTAATAAATCGATCTATGATAAAACCTATTAAATTTACTTATTGAGAATAATTCTTTGTCTCAGATATCATTTTGACTGCTTGCAAATAGATATTAATATTTTCATTGAAAATAAACTTTTCTTCGTTTCGTAACTTTTCGTTAATATTTATTATCAACGTATTTATATGTAATGAAAATGAATCTTAAGCGAGATGAGCATATGCATAAATACAGATGTAATAATCTATTTTTTCCAGTGTGTTCTTTGTAAACAAAAGGAAAACTACAGTCATTGCTTTGTATTTGCCTTCTGTTTTAAAAAAGAATGCAATTCTGTTGCTCCATCGATAGACAAACATTCGCAATAATATTGTTCTGCAGAAATTTCCAACGTTCTCTCGTTATGAAAGTCAAATAGTAACTAGCAGACATATAAAAATTATTCACACCATAGTACATTAAATAAACCAGTAATTCCTATGTATGTAATCAATGTTTGAAGTCATAGAAACAAGCTGTATATAGTGTGAATGTGGGATATACAAGTAAATGCATATAAACTTTGATTCACAGTCTATTTTCGAATACAAATTCGTACCCACATCATCAAAATTCACTAGAATAACACTATATAAACTCGATATGTTCTCTACTGTTACCGTCAAATATTTTTCAAATTAATAGTGTAGCGGAATTCTACATGTTCCTGTTAAAATATGAGATGGATATTAAAACTTAGTTACCTAGAAATCCATTTTTCACATCACACTCATTATTCAATCTGCGTGCGTTTTACCCTGCCACACTATCTGATAGGCCTTATCTTTATTTTAACCATAATATTTTTATCGGCACACTTTTACATTTGCGAAGTATGAAGACATTCAAACTTGTGTCTCAACAAATGGTGAGAGTTTTAGTTCAAGTCGTTTGCTTTTTTTCTGTTATTCTATACCAGATATTAATGTTTATACAGTTAATATATGGCAAAAGTTAGTTCTCATGAATAGTTTTGCAAAAATTCCATAATTTAAGCTACTTAATGGATATTTATTGTTTTTTTTGTATAAGCTACGCATTATTATTATTGTCGATAGTTTATTTATACAGAATAATTTGCCAAAAAAAAAAGAATTCAATAAAATATCATCTCACATGAAAATATATGAAGGCATATCGATTATCGGACAGTACTTCATATTATAAGCTAGCACACTGATTTCTTTCAATACAGAAAAATTGAATCGAATAGTCTAGTGATAAAATTTTAGTGATGGCACGTGAAAAAGGGTACGAGTTTCGAATACGATTCTATAATAATAATTTATTCAGCAAATGTCTACAATTATCAAACCAAATTATTACGTATAAATAGCATTACAGTGTGGCAATATATATATATGTATATGGTGCTTAATCTCGTCTTACCATCTCTCCTTCTCATATGATGTATTGTTCTTTTTTGGTTTGGTTATGTATTGTGAACAATCTTGATCTTCTTGATTATTCTCTCTTTTACTTGTAGATTCTCCTTTTCTCATGTTACCCAAGTGTGTATATGATCATACACTTTTGATGTCAACGATATAATAGTATGATAAGGAGACAGATAGTAAAGTGCAGTACCATCGCATGGATATTCTTTGTATCAGAAATGGTCTCACATATAAGTGCATGCATCTCGCTCAATTTTCTTCATTCTTTTCACAATTCAACAAAATACAGTTCTGCTGTCTACTTTTAAAAAGAAAAACACAAAACTATGCATATTTTCATAACCTAAAGTTATTTCAAAATAATTGACTCTTCATTAGTTACTTACAAAATAGCATTCTAAGTAGTACGGATGAAAGTGTTTTCTCGAAAACAAATAATTAGTAAATTTCCACGAAAAGAGTTGTATTTATACTTGAGAATAAGCGCAAAACTGATGTGCTATACACACGCGGAAACTCGTATATAGTTCTCCCGAACTCATCATTCGTGGACCAATTCTACTCATTTCTTCATTTTTATTTTATATTTTTCTATTAAATTCGACTAATCAAGAGGATGTGTAAGGCAAACCTCTTGAAACATCAAATTATTGCAAGAATCATAGAAGAATCTGACTGGATGAATTAGGAACACAAGATCTTTCCCAATGTGCGAATAAGAACCAAAAAACTAAATGATAATCCAGTATTGATTCTATTTTAAAAGATACTCTGATGATATCACCTGATTTAAGATTATTTACTGGCATTGTTTTAGATTTGCTTTTGTGCTCATCTCTATAGTATCTTATTCTGCAATAATGCCTTTTCTCAAAAAGTTAGAAGTGCGTGATTTGGCATCAAAATATGGCCATAGCCAACGTGGTGTTGTTGCTCTAGAACCAATCCGACGTGGCGAATTAGTCATTGAATGTGACATGTCCATGTGTAGTTACTATCCATTGGATGATCCTCGTAATAAAATGAGCCGAACAGAGGTACTTGCGTTAATTGAGAAGTATCCTGAATCAAATGATTTTATCCTATCGTATACGTACATGCTTGATGATGATTTGTTCCATGTACCACGGAATTATGTTACACAGGAGCTTACAGATGAATGTGTTTTCTTCAATCATTCATGTGATCCAAATTGTGGATTTGCAACTGATGATGAATTTACTGTGATGGCTATTCGAGATATAAATCCAGGTGAAGAACTTACTTATCATTATGGTTGTTTAGATTCGGAAACAACTTTATCAACAAATTTTGTTTGCAAATGTGGTACATACAATTGTGTTGGCGAATTAAAATATGATTTTTGGCGTGATCCTGAGTGGCAAAAGAAATATGAACAGTATTCGGGTGATTATATCAAGCGAAAAATTCGAAAACTACATCAAGAACAAGCACAAAAATCGTGATACTATTTGAGTATGAAGTTACTATTTCTGAAGAGACAACTATTTTCAGTTTTTGTTTTTCTAATAAATTATCCGTAGAATTCAATATATCTAGTCAATGTTTAAGAATAAATTTTCATTTAAATCGAATACTTGAAACGAATGAAAGAGAACACAAACGTGTAACAACGTAAATATTTGAATCAAGAAAAATCACATAGTCTGTATCTTTCGAAGTTTTGTGCTCTGTGAACCAATCCTGCATGAATAGCAGATGAAATAAATCGTGCTTCATAGGTCGTCAGAAGTAATATATTCAATATCTATGTATGAAGCTCTGTTTGAGCCAACGTACAACTTTGTATTTCTAAATGATTAATACATACGTATTTATATTTTTCAAGCATTTCTGTCTTACGTGACATCGTTTTATTGTTTTGATTTGACATGTGATCTAGAGAGAATTATTTTATCAACATATATGATGAGCTCGATCATTTAAGCAAGGATCAATGGATTCGTCTGACTGAAATGAAACAAGTATTTTTCTTCGAAATTCATGCTATTAGTATGTATCAGTGTTACGAATAATCAACCTATGGATTCATATCTATATAATAAAAAAGAAACCATCGAAAAGTTGAAAGCTAATGGAAAAATCGTCACTTTATCATTTGAATGCTCTCTATAGATTAAAAACAAATGTTATTAAAATTAAATCACAATGTTTGATAACTCTTCTCGTGAAGAAATTCAGTTGTGCATGACTGATGGACGTGGTTGTGTGGGATAGGATGAGAAAACAATGAAAGCTCGTACTCATTCATATTCATACGTAGCTTTTCATGAACGACTGAGTATTCCTTGATAGAGGTACCAAGAAATGGTATAAACTTACCATTATTTTTATAATGTAAAATATTCTTAATCTAATATGTTTCAACTATTCATGAGCGGAAAAGTTTGTGTGATCTTTACCACTGAATATCTATAAGGTTTACAACGTATATTTTTTCCACTTTAAATTCAACTTTATGCGATAAAATTTTTTTTTTTTCGTTTTGTTTGATTTTTTTCTTAACAAACGATAAGAAACATTAAGTTGTTTAAGATATTTTTTATCTATGAAGAGAATAGGTAAATAATTATTATTTTTAAAAAAGAAAAAAAGACTATTAGTTTATCTAAGATGAAAAAATAAAAGTTCGGTTTCATTTCAGTTTTCATTTTCGCACGACTACGATGCATCTTCGTATTTGTTTGATAGTGTGTCTTGCTTTATCGACTGTTTACAGTCGTAATATTAAAAATTCGAAAAAAACATCATTATCAGAGGAATTTATTTCTGGAATAAATACCGTTCAATCAACATGGAAAGCTGCACCATCCAAATTTATGCCATGGTCAAAAGATGCAATAAAACGATTAATGGGTGTTCTACCAGAGCATTTTACGCAAGTAAAACATCTTGATCCACTTGTGCATGATATACCGAATGATTTACCAGACAATTTCGATGCACGTGATCAGTGGCCTAATTGTCAATCAATTAAAGAAGTACGTGATCAAGGAAGGTCAGTTTTATAGAATTGAAACTCATATATGCGCTAAAGTGACATGAATTTTTTTTATATTGCTAGTTGTGGTAGCTGTTGGGCTTTTGGTGCAGTTGAAGCTATGTCCGACCGTATTTGCATTGCATCAAAAGGAGCACAGAGTGTGCATATTTCAGCAGAAGATCTTGTTTGTATGTTCAATAGTGTTTGCTTCGATTTTATTTTAAAAAGTGCTATAAAATATTTTAGCATGTTGTCTATTGTGTGGTGAAGGCTGTAATGGAGGTTATCCAGTAGCAGCTTGGAATCATTATAGATTTACTGGATTAGTTTCGGGTGGTAATTATAATACAAAACAAGGTTGTGAACCATACACCCTTCCATCCTGTGATCATCAGTATGTTTGAAAATGCTACCGTCTAGATTAATAAATATCTTCTTTTCTTTTTCTTTAAGTGTGAATGGAACTCTTCCTCCCGTAAGTAATGATTGGTTTGAAATTCTGTTGATATACTGTGTCGTTTTATAATTAGTGTCAAGGAGAAGAGCCAACTCCAAAATGTACTCATAAATGTATCGATGGTTATCCAACACCATATACACAAGATAAGCATCATGGTGAAAGCGTTTATTCAGTTCGATCAAATCAAGAACAAATTCAAACAGAAATTATGACCAATGGACCTGTTGAAGCAGCGTTCTCTGTCTATGAAGATTTTCTTGCTTACAAATCAGGTGTTTATAAATATACAGCTGGTGATTTTCTTGGTGGTCATGGTAAGATTTTTGTGTTGATTTTGATTGTGTTTCTTAAGTGTGAGAAAATCTTCTGTTTTTATTTTCAGCTGTGAAGATTCTTGGTTGGGGTGTAGAAAATTCAACACCCTATTGGATTGTTGCTAATTGTAAGTATCATGACAATTATTTTACTATTATAAGTATGATTGTTTTTGTTTTAGCATGGAATGAAGATTGGGGTGATAAAGGTTTCTTTAAAATCCTTCGTGGTTCAGATGAATGTGGTATCGAAAGCAGTATTGTTGCTGGTGCACCAAAGCTTACTTAAACAAAACAAAAGCATTCTATTTAAATCGCTTCGACAACGTATTTTTTTAAATAAGAAAGTCAATAAATACATTGGATTTCCACTTCGAAATATTTTTCATTTATATTTTATTCAATAATAAATATTAATTACTACCTTATATTCTTTTATCAGAGGAATAATTGTTCAAAATCGGGCTTAGAGCAAAAATAATTTTAGGCGCAAGTCATTTTTTAAGATTTATGCCGTCAAGAACAAGCGACAGTTGTTTGTATCAATATCATCCAGGAAATAATATGCATATTCACTGAGAACATCAGAATACATAGGTTCCGTGTGATCTCTAGAAGCCTTATGTCACAAAAATCCGGAAATCCAACTTGGCGCTTCGCAGTAAAATTGAACAGAAACTTGTTTTTCACTTGCGACCGAGTTCAACTCTGAAGCAGATNGGGATGTTTGTTTGAGTATCGATAAGACTATGACGGAATGAACAACATGTAACGGTTTTGAGTTACTTGTAGTTCATGCTTTTATATATTATACAAGGATTACAACGATAAAAGGATGAAAAGGATAGGAGAAGAAGATTGAGTCAAGAATGACTGAAGAACAACAGTTGAACAAGGGTATTTATATGTGTACGCGAAAGAGAGAGAGAAGAGAATAATGATAACCAGAGGCACTGCTCCCAGCGATGAGTGTATGACAGATGAATCCATCACACAACATGCACACACTCACACCCTTTATTTTACTAAAAATTTATTTTCAATTTACTAAAATATTTTTATGAAAATAATACAAAATTTTATTTTTCCATTTAAATCATAAATATTTTCAAAACGACACAATTT